ATCAAGGTTTGTGGCTCCACTTAACGTACCTACGTCAATTGATAATATTGTGAATAAATAATTGATAATATATATTTGATAATAAAGTGTTTTAATATTACCCCATATTGTTATCCACACAATCACGTTGTTCGTATTATTTTAAGAATTATAGGATTGTTACCATATACGGTTGTGTATCATAATGTTTGTTTAATACTTATACCTACACGGCTACATGTTGATCGACAGAGTGAATATTTTACTTCAATGTACGTGTTATTCTTTGACGATTAAACGGATCGATAAAATTATCGAAAAGATAGGAATTTTAAAAAAATATAAAAAGAAATTTAATGGTAAATTATTTTATAATATAATATACTAAACTATAGTTTTAACATTTTTAAGCACACAGTTTTACCAACTACAAAATCAACTTAATTTTTTTTAAATACCTATAGTAAATAATAACAAATGTTTTAATATATTTCTTTAAGTAAGTGTACCTAGTTCTCTTTTGTTTGAACATGTTGTCGGTTGAAACATCAATACACTTATTTACTACTTTATTAAATAGGTACGGGATGCGGCTCCATAAAACTTTAATTTTAGTTTTAATTAAAATAATAACAACTATAAATATATTATTTTATATACAGGTGATTCTACCAAGAATGCTTACACCTTTTTTTAACCAATAATGCAATTATTCAAAATGTGGTTATTGCAATTTTTAAATTTGTTTATAAACCTTATTTTCAAACAGTTGTGAATAAAATTGTTGTAGGTACTACTCTTGAGTGTTCTGTGCAGATACAAACTTCTTTTTTGAAATAATAACACCCCTTTTCAATTGCAAAATATTAAGCGGATAATTTTTCTAAAAACTATGACTATAACTTATCATAATTTATAATCGAAATCCGAACAAGTCATTTTTGAGTTATTTAATTCTGTGTGCTAATAAAGACATAGACTATAGTTTAGGTAATATAAATCAACGAATGAATAAATGTTTGAAAACCAATTTGATTATAGTGTTTCAAGTAGATACTGATAATATTATTATCTAACAAAATAATAACAATATTAATAACCAACATAATATTTCTTCGTGGTCAGCTTCAGGTTAGGTTATAGTGGCCGGTTAGTGACATCGCTAACAAGGAACAACTTTATTATATTCTGTGGTAATAACAGATATATCGAACGTGCCGTCGTTCGTTGGCATCTTGCAGCTGATGTCTGTCGTGGACTGGAAACGCGAGATGGCCACACCGTCCACTGACATACAGCATGTACTGCCTGGCCACGGTGCACGCGGTAGGGGGCAATCGGTGATCTACGATCGGTAGGCTGCGACGCTGGCCACCTCATCGGTCGAGCTGAAATACTCACTCAAATCGATAATAAAAGCAACCAAGATCGAGTATCACGAGTGTGGCTGTGTCCTGTCCGCGTCACAATACGCGCAACGGACCCGGCTGGCCACAGCGTCCGTGGCCGCAGAGCGAAGAGCAGGACAACGACATCGACACGGCCCGTATACAAGAACGGGCTTATGATCATGCAGGCCAGCAAGCAGCTGCCTATGTGACTCGATAATAACGTTGATCCCATTGCGACCCATCGTTTACGTGTCGCTGCGCATCTTGCAGGTGGCCCGGGCGGCGGCTCCATCGGGTATGCGACAGTGGCTGCTGAAGGTGTACACCGTCGGTGACCTAGACCGTGTGTTGGCTGAGTAGGACCACGTTACTCTTCGACGACCCGATCGTCACGTTCCAAACGTTTTAATTTTCGCTACCACGGCCCTAGACTACACGATGAACCAGGGGCGCTCTGAAGACAACCAGCAGGATGAAGGCCTGTCGTTCGTTAACACACGTAGTATATACGCGGGACCTGTCCGATGAGTTCACTCTCGTCTCCGTGAAAACTCAGACGGGCGATCGTGGATCAGGAATTTAGGAATATATTTCAACTTTGCGGTATACCCGTCGCTGCAGGTCGTGCAGGACGAGGGCGCTGATGTTGCGTGCCAAACAGTTGAGTGACCTGCAGAAGTTTATGAATGAGGGTATTACGAGAACCCGTTGGCGCATCCGGTCATCAGACCCGAACTTTTTCACACTCAGGAACTCCGTGTACGTTCAAAGTAGGTCTAACGTGTAGAAACGTCCAGAATAGTACAATAGAAGGCCGAGCCTAATGCCCTTGACAAGGTGCGATAAGTCTGCAGGGATGTCAGCGGTGACAAGTACAGCTAGGATCGAGTGCACTTCACGTTCGAGTTATCCACTATTTATCGAATCTGAATAAAACGTCGTAAGTGCATTATAGGCCCGGACACCACGATCGACCACCTGTTGCGACTCCGGCGGTGGACGTCGGCACGAATGATGAAATCAGCAGCGATATCGATGGAGCCCGTCATAGTTATTACTTATTACTAAAATAATAAAGAAGATTTTGTTGTTATTCCAATAACACGTGCTTAAATATTTCAAAATGATCATAAGTAATTAATATGTATTTTTTTTGAAATAATAATATGATCGATCCATAAACCATAATCATTAAAACAACGAAATATTATAGGTAGGTAAATCTATTTAAAATAAAGTGACATAAATGCTATATACATCTAAATATCCAATATACTCAAAATATTAACATAATATTCACAAATTTAAAGTAGTTCAATATATTAATATATATATATAATTAATATTTGGGTCTGGATCCAATCCCGACATGAAAAATTCCGACAAATCACAATTTTTACAGTTTAAAATCTGAACTATATGTCTATATACCTATCGGCTATCACCAAACATATTTACATATTATATTCATTATTTAATTTCAAAACACGAACAATTTTACATTAGAGTATATTAATGTTATATTATTATATTCCTTAAACGATATTTTTTTTGAGCATTTTGATCTAGGTATCTAAATTAAAGTTCGAACGAGTAGTTTTTGAGTTATATAACTTTGTGTACCTATTTAATATATATTTTGGTATTTCCTTTTTAGGATGTGATTATTTTGCATATATTAGGTACACTCAATTTCGTAAGACGTAACTTATAAAGTATACCTACTATACCATTACAGCACTATGCAGTTAACGCCAAAAAACGTTTGTTCATTTAAAATGTTCAGAAATTCATCAAAGGAAAATAATTCGGTGTTTAATCGTTTTAGATAATATTATGAGTTCAAAACTTTTAGATTTTGAACTGTCGGCATTTTAAACTATATATCGAGATTTTGATTTGTTAGGATTTTAGTGTCAGAATTTTGACCAGTCAGGTAATCACGCCTCCCAATATAATAATTATAGGTTTAGGTAGGTCACTTATACCGCATCTTTTTGTCAATCACATAGCAAAATGTTTCAATTATCAATATAAAAATGTAATTTTATTTTTTTTGCATAATTTCAAGAGAAAATATATCAAATTCAGAATAAAATTATTATTTTAGAGAAATATTATTAAATATTTGAAGTGGAAAATATTTTTAAAAAAACATTTTAATATTTTTGATAGAATATTGTCAAAAAATGCAGGTACAATATTTATTATATTAGTAAAATATAATAAAATATAATTCCCCACGGGTCACGGGAATATTCTAATTCAAAGAGACAACCACCCCTAATTTAAAAATCTGCTCTTATAATTATATTGCAGACTGCAATGAGATGTTTCTAAAACATAATTTACGTATTATTATTATAGGAATTAGGATTAGGCGTAAGATAAAAATATAAAATACACTCGACCTCGTTACCTAGCAAACCATGATTTATTATATGACGCCTATTGTCTAACCAGTCAACGTCATTGATCCTTTGATATCAAATAGCAAACACATTGTCTTAACTCTTAACATTTAAAAAACAAACACTCCTCTCAATATCACAATTATTATTAACACTCTATAACGAATGCTATTTTTTTGTTAAATTGTATTGGTAGTATATACATATTATATTTTGCAATTACATGCTGTATAAATATATTATATATGCTAAAAGGTACGCATTTTAACGAATCGAACGTGTAGCTATAAAGTATATAACTATAATATAGGTAACTATATAACCAGAATAGTAGAAAATATAACTGTACACAAAAAGAATAACTGAATAACCAGTTTTTTAGAACATTTTAATCTTTTAGTTTGAAAATGTTTGATTAAATACTCAAATACCTATATTATATAACTATTATACTTAGATAAGTAGTTTGTACTTAGTTTACAATATATTCATATTATTATAGGCGTGCTAGTAATTACTTATTTTAAAGTTGTTGTTGGGACCAAATCTTCGAGTTGAAATATTAATTAAAAAGAAAGTTTCACACTTTATAATTTATTATTATATTATACTGAGAACCAGTCCGTTCTAAATATGGACAAATTACTTGCGCTATCACACATAGACAATGGATAGTTGTTTTAACTTTGTAGTCTGGACATACCTACTATGATCTTAAGTATCAAAATTTAATTTTACTGCATTTGTCACTTAAATTAATTGAAATGAAACACTATTTGAAGGTATTGAAAAACTCATTAGAATTGTAATTTTGAAAATCTATGTTATTTAGCTTAATGTTTTTGAAGTGTTACAATTAGGTACTAAAAGTTTAGGTCATTATCTGAATTATTTGAATAGTGAAAATAAATATCAACAAACGTTGTTACAACTATTAGTTATATTAGTCTACGGTACAGTTGAAACATTCATGCCCCCTACTATGCCCTAGATCAGGGGTCGGCAACCTTTTCAAAAACGCGGGTCATATTTTTTTTCAATTTTTCATCAAGGGCCACATTAACAAAAAATTACATATTATGATATAATACTTATAATTGTGTTGTTGTTATATTTGATTATTTTACATAGAAATATGAGAGAAAAAAACACAAATTTTACTGGAAAAAATTGTATTTAAGAATAAATTGAATTGAATAAAAAATTGTAAAGTTGTAAATTAATGCGATTTCTGTGCCTGCAGTTTTTTAGTTAAATTTTCGATATCAGCTTCCCGAAAAGAATTTTTTAGAACTTCGTCATTTTGAAGTTCAATGACTTCCATCATTTGTAAATTATTCTTGACATTATTTATGTCCATTTGAAAAGGATTCTGGAATAATTTAATTTCTTTATCATATTTATAAAAATCATCAAATCTTGTTGAAAATTCCTTTTTTAATCGTTCAATGATATTGAGAAATTTATGTTTAATTAAATCCCACTGCAATGGTATTACAAAAGATTCAATCGCAGATTTACAACACGAAAAATTATATAAAATTTGTTGATCGAAATTATTGTACAATAGATTTAATTTTACTTGAAACGATTTAATGTCAGTGTACATATCTGAGAGTAATTTTCCTTTGCCTTGTAATTTTATATTCAATTCATTCAAAAATGTTGTAATATCTTTTAAAAATGCCAATTTGAGAATCCATGATTCATCATCTGATAGTTCATCTGATAGTTCATCATCTGATTTTATTTTTTTCATTCATAAACATTTCTATTTCCAACCGTATATCAAAAAATCGTTTAAGTGCCGCACCTCTACTCAACCATCTGACTTCTGTAAAATATATAACTTCGCCATATCCCGATTCAATTTTATCCAGAAAATGTTGAAATTGACGATGACCCAAACCATTTTATCGAATAAAATAACTATTAACGGTTAGATTAGATTTTATTTATAAAGGAAAAAGAATTATAAAATTTTGAAAATTATATGAAAAATGTTATTGAACAAAAATAAAACACAAAAATTAACCACCTTTGTGCGGGCCATCAAAAATTGCTTTGCGGGCCGCTGGTTGCCGACCCCTGCCCTAGATCACCAATTTCTTTTCGGGATGTAGGGGTGGTATACTTGTCCACAACCTACAGGCTACATCTTTAAATATATGCCAATGACATATTTTTATAAGAGTTGGTGGAGGGGGGTCCACCGACATAATGTTATAAAATATAATAATGCTCATGGGCGCAGAGCAAAGGCTTATATTTAATTTAGATTCGTGTAGAATTTCGTAAAAAAAATGATTCGTCTATATAATTATATCATTATACAGGTTTTAAAATGTACTAATTTTCTTAATTTTCACACATGGAGTATCTATAATTTATTATATATATTATAATCGAGGAACTTTTAGGTAGCTACCTTTATATACAGCTAATATATATGTAATACCCTCAGGAACGCCCACAGATAAATAGTTCACTAGGTGCAAAATACGTTTAGTGTCAAAATAAGCTGTGGGGAGCTACGCGCCCACATACTCCTAGACCTTAATCTAATGACACCTTTATAATGACTTTTTTAAATTATAATGATTCATTATTTATACTGATTACCTAATTAATAAGATATTAACTTACATAATGGTTAATATAAATTGGTTATTAATTGTACCTAATATAAAATAATTAATTGTTTGGAAAAATTTACCATTTGGTGAATAAGCACTAAATTGTATTGATAAATTAGTTTCATTTTTAATACTATAGTATTATCCAACTATCCAAGTAGAGATTTGGTCGATTTAGAGTTACAGGAAATGTATTTTTGTTTGATGTAGCGCAAAGCTTTTGTAACTAGTTTATCACTAATCACTAGTTAATTTAAAAATTTTAATTGCAAATGTCAGCATTAAATATAAGTGTTTTACAATACAATTAAAATATGAATACCTATAAGCGTATAACAATACAATAAACAATTTATAGTGTTAGGTTTACAAGTGTACAATAATAATTATATTAAATAACATAATATTTTATTTTTATACAGTAGGTGACACCAATAAAATATTATTATAATAAGTTCATCGATGGGTACACCATGATAATGTTTTATTTAAAAAATCCAAATTATTGAAATTCTCAGGTGGTGCATTTGCACCACCTGGCCCCTCTTTCGGAGTGCCTGAATTCCCTTACTAATAAGACACTAATTGTATTGTTTTACTTAGGAAGGTTGTACTAATAGGTACCTATATATTATTGTACAAAACTACAAAATATGTTGAATCTATCAAGTTTGGTAGGGAGGGGGGCAACATTTTTTGAATATGGATACTAGGCACTTATAATTTTTACGCTCAAAATATAAAAGTTCTTGTTCTACTTTAAAAAAAATCGGGGGGGGGGAGATTATGTTATTCTAGGCCTTCCCTCAAGTTATGGCATTGAATGGGTATGTTTTGGATAAAATTAACCAATAATATCCAATTACAATCCCTTAGAAAAGTACGATAATATTGTAATACTTACCTTAGTCGTGAAGATGAACCCACGACGGTAATGTACCTTTGGTAGTCGTGAACAACGCCTTGCCATTATAATTTTACAATCATAAAAATATTATATTATTTATTAGATAAATTCAACTGCGATTGAAGCGATTACGGTTCCACACTTCCACTCTTCAAGTCTTGCAATGTCGAGTCCGGTATACTGATCAGACGATCACTATTTAAACGTCTGTACACTGCTCAAGCGCAAAAAACAAGAATACGAGTTCATGGTACCTAATAATTTGTATACCTATAGTACGTCGAAAAAAAAACTACACCAACAACGCAATGACTGCGAATCGTAAAATGTATTTTTGTTTTGCTATACGGATAGGTAGGTAGTAGGAACACTTGAATTTTTGATTATCCATTCTAAGTTTCTCAAGGTGGGCGAGAACAGTCTTTCATACAACAGAAAAATATAATCGCAAATAGAAAACGAAAAACATGCGCATCCAACAATAATAATACAAATCCTCAAAGCAAGTATATTATACCAATTACTAGCGGCGGCAGCAACTAAAACTTGGTAAAATTATTTACGTTTAACTGCCTCTGCAAACATAAACGAATGACGTCCTATGGTGCGCCGACCGTTCGCCGAATCCATTAAAAAGCGGCGGACAAACCGATGAAGCAATAGTAATATAACTACGATGGCAGACGCCGACGAGGGATTTGGTTATTGTAGTGTTGTCGTTGTGTGTACAATAATTAATTATTATACATTGTACACGCGATTAGTGTTTGGAGGAGATTTTACAGCTCGAGATGAGATTTACACATAGTTTGTAATAATTATACGCAGTAATGTTTAAATTATAGGTAGGTATGTGTCGTTTATGGGAAGCTGCTGGTTTCACAGGTACACGATTCGTCCAAAATATTTTACGAGTATGCGATTCGACAGCATTGTGCAACGCCGAAGGGCGGCAATCACGTACAAGGGTGAAACGCTCTACATGTGAAACAAGTATACAACGAAAAAATAGAAGTTAAGGGGGCTGGAGCGTAATCCATTCTAAGGAGTAAAAACTAGGTATTTTATATTTTAGTTAATATGGGTCTTGTGAATGTGTTGAATGTAAATAAAAAATAGTGTGTGTAATTCGTAGTACAGGTCACGTTGTATAGGATCATCACAATACATCTGTCATTTTACCTAAGCGCATGCACATGTCACCGTTTATTTCTTTATAAAATTACAAACATTTTTTTCAAAAAATACTGCCAGTGACTTCAATCACTACGCTCAGTAGAATGTTTGGATTTAAATTTTTTAAAGCAGTTTTGAATTCTCCTCTAAATTTACTATGCTTTGACTGTCGTACATTTTTCACACTTTATACCAATGTATTTAAATTTAAATTATGAATATGATATTATGATCTATTTTTACTATTTTTGTTAGTAAATTTCTTAGTAAAAAAAAAAAAAATATGAAATATGAAACTGTCAAAGCGTAGATATTTTAGTGACGAATTCAAATCTGCTTTCAAAATTAATATCAGAACATTATATTGGGCGTAGTGATTGTTGTCGTGAGCTATGTTTTCGACCGAAAATTAATCACGCTCCAGCCTCCTTAAAGATGTAAACGGAAATTTAAAATACTTTTAAAACTTTCGGGATATCGTGTTACATTTTAAGTTGTTGTACCTTGTCAGCCTAAAGCTATCGCTATGTGTATCCTTTATAATATTATGTTTAGGAACATGTGTAAAATTATTATAGGCCCCTGGGGCCTAACGATTTATTGCAACGTCAAATAGATTTAAAACATAAAACAAACATTCTTTAGTCTGAAGAACATATGGTATACAAAAACAAAAGATGAAAAATTCACAGTCATTTTCCGTAAATATATCACAATAAATTTGGATTAAAGCAATAATATTTGCTATAGGCGGTATATTATATTTATTCGAAGAATGATTTTGAAAAAATATTGTAATTTTTTCATTTATAAGATAAGCTTATACGATATAACAGACAATTTCCTTATCATAATAGTAAATTATGTTTCGTAACAATGAAATTAGAAAAAAACTAAAAGTAAAAAGTTTACGAAAAAAAAACAAACAATTAAGTAAATTTAGTAAGGTAAATACCGATAAATATTTTAATGGTAATGTGTGGTTGTTACGACGTACCTATATGTTACTTACTTATATTATTATATAATGTAAATCTGACTGTAATAAAGTAAAACTGTATTTACAAAATCATCTAAACGTTAAGTAGCGTTTTTAAAAATCTTAAAAATTGAAAATAAAAATCGTACACATGTATATACATATATTATTAAAATAAAATATATACACGGGTATATTAGTCGAATTCGGATAGTTTGTCGCTGTCGCATGTTATATTACACATTGATATCATCCACTTACACACACACACACACACACACACACACACACACACACACACACACACACACACACACACACACACACACACACACACTTAGACACACACACAAATATATATATTTCTTAAATATTAAATTAAATATAAAAAAAATCGAAATTCACCATTCTTTCCCTTCCCCAATACGGAAACAATAAATAATAATAATGGGTAATTTATTTTTTATTTTTAGTGCGTGGGCGATGCCTTCTTCATCACGACCTCCACTGCAGAAACGCAGTCGTTTCTAGCGGCGTGCGCACATACAGAGAAGGTGGTGAGGTATCCCCGGTATAGTAATAGTATGGTAATATTATAGTCGTGGTCGTGGTCGTATGGTGGTGGATTGTAAGTTAAGTGGGCAGTGTGGCATCTCCGTTGTTTGCCTTTTTCCCGTTCGTACTGTCGCCACCTCCGATGTCGTCTTTCACATCATCCTTGAATCGGTCCTCCAGAAATCCCGGTTCCTAGAAGATAAGACGTAGGACGTTAGTGAATTTAAAGTAATATTGTCCCGCCGATCGATTTGATATTATTATTTCTGCGTGCCACTGCATAATATCCGCAAATTTTGTATGCCAATAAAATTCGCAAATGTATATAGTATATACATGCTGATGATATGCTGTATGTAGTGCATTAAAAAAAAAAAATAATAATAGTTTAAATATATGACGGCGCTACAAAATTAAACAAAATTAACTAAGTATAAATAGCATTATATTATTTTATGTACCTATGTGCGTATTATTTACATTAAGCCAAATATTAATATAATACAATGAAATGAAGGTGTTATAAAAACAAAAGTCCGCACATGCCACAACGTTATAACCAGGGTCCGGTTTTTATGTTAAAATATTATTATATTTTAAAATATGATGCTTACAAACTTTATACAAACCCTACAAATATTCAGATTTAAAAATGAGATAAATATTCAAAAAATCTAAAATAATCATCTAAAGTAAAAAATATTTACTTTCATACACTAAATTAAATTAAAAATTTTAATAAAAAGATAAACATGAAAATTAGAACGTAACTTGATAGTTAAACTGAGTGTGTAAATAATTATTGGATATACAATTAATGAGACCAACTAAAAACAACTATCAATCAAAATCAAAATCACAATTGAAAACCCGTCAAGTAGGTGCCTAACCAGTGGCACTACCGTATATATTTATATATATTTCATATTATGGGAAAAAAATGCAAGTGTTCGACCCACCTACCTAAAAAAAATGTTTAGCTACTCTCGAATAGTGCATTATAATCTCGATATACTGACTTTAAATATTAAATAACACTAATGACTGATCAGTGATCACTTATTATCACCTACCCACCCACCTGACTCACACATAAATAGTTCTTGGGAGTTTTCCCCAGTTGATACCCGAGTTCGGCGCCACTGTACCTAACCATTCTACAGTACCTATCTACTTAAGTGTGCTGTGTGGTGTACACTATTGTTAAAGACTGTCACTGTATAATGGGTTTGTACAATTTTAATTTAAACGAAAAACGATTCTTAATGAAAGCGATCTAAATTTTTGGTAACCTGCATGGTTAATTAACAGTTATATTAATAGCTAATAATAAACGCTTGTGTATTTTTTCTCTAATTATAATATAAAGTAGTAAGTACTGAGAAATTTCCTACTTCTGACCGACTAAAGTACAAACTTTCATCAGAAACATCCCTAGAAGCTGATGAATTTTTCAAATAGAAAAAATATCTCCAGATCAAAAAAAAAAAAAAATGTATGTTATCATCATAACATATACAATCAATACATACAATAGCTCTGCCCAGAATCGAAACAAAATTAAAATTGGTTGATAATTAAAAAAAAAATTGTAAAGATGGGTATACCTAAAAACATAAATTAATAATAATATAATTGAAAATTAATATAAATTAGTATATTTTTCTCATAATTAACAAAATATTTCAAGATATACCAGGGAAACTAAATATGCAAAAAAAAAAATATATATTTATCATTTTTATTTTTCAACGAAGTTGTGCAAGAACATAAAAATCCGAACTCTAGTTATAACTATATTATTATCAAGAACACACACCGTATTAGTAGATCTGGTGCCCGTGTTATCGAAGACCGTAGGCATATCCTTTAAAAACAAAACACAATAAAGATATCATATGATTTCATACGAGTAGGTAGTGTGATGCACTGTCAAAATTAAGCTACTATCCAAAGTTCAGCGATCAGTTTATTATAATTTATAATGAATATTAACGTACATATTTTATTGCATCTAAATAGACAAATTTTCAGACAAAAAATTGAATTGAAAAAAATTAAATCAAGAGTCGACATTGCATACATCGCATACCTCGTGCGTTCAGGTGAACGCGTTAATAATATATAGTAACTTTAATAAACTATACACTACGGACTGAATAATAAGCCCTTTCGATCACCCCCATCCCATATATATATATATCTAAGTATAGCGATGATGTTAAGTCTCATTTACGACGCCAACGTCTTATTAAATTCCTAATTTACATAATATTATATTATACATTAATGCATTAATCAAGTGACAAATTTTTCGGGCACAAAAAAAATCTCGTGCGGGTAAACCTATGTATAGAAAAATAAACCAAAACGTTTGACCAATGACAATATAATACGATAGTAATAATAATATAAGGCTAATAAATATATATTATATTGACAATGACTTGTGTCTGTTATAACACGCATATAGTTGCGACTTGCAGTTAAAAATGGCTTCCCCTCCGCATACACCATTATGCGGTTTTCAAAAGACTGCACGTGTACGTCCCCCGCCCGCTTCACCCCTTCACTAGAATATAAGTTGGCAAGCTTTCGAATACATGTTTTACTGCCACGTTAGGTTTTGTCATCCATGATAAACTTGTGTCAAAACTTCATATAGGTATGTAGAAAGTAGAAACCTACGAGTTTCGGTATCAACCCACCGCCACTTTTTAATAGCTAAAATGCACTGTGTTCAACAGTGGTTACAGAAATTATATATGATATAAATTATATCTATTTTGTGGAAATTTAAATATTATAATTTAATGATGAGCTAGTTTTTTGAAATATTACTCAAAATACGAGAAAGAAAGACAATTTTCAAAATATAGGTCATACCAATTTATTTATATTTATATTGATATAACAAGGAAAACTAGAAATAGATAATATTATGATCATATACTATAAGTTATAACCAGGGCTAGGATTTACATGCAACAGCATGTTTTTTTTCCGACTTCTGGTTATTGATTTTGTCTGTAATGTCCACGAATCACCTCATGATGAGATAAATGGTGGTATTTTTATTTTGCATATTTTGGATGAAATGCATATTATTGCATATTTCAATTATAAGAATGCGAAAAATGCATGTTTTATAGTATATTTCATAAAACTTAGTTTTTTGTCAAACATAAATTTTTATTTTTATAAATACAATCCTATGGTACAATAGGTATGCGATAAATGATTGAATAGTTTGCCATTCATTTTCAAAAATTTAAAAATTATCTTGTCGTAGCATGTAACACACGTAGTGAATGTGAATTATAAATTTTATTTCTAAATTATAATTTTTTTTTTCTCAATTATATTATATTAAGACAAATAGTCAATCACTGATGTATTTCAATAAATAAATATTTTTTTTGTAACTATATTTTTGTGTTTATCTTATAAACATTTAAATTCATATTTTTGCATATTTTGGTAAATAAAATGCATATCTTACCATTTTTTATTGCATACAAATCCTAGCCCTAGTTATAACTATCCACATTAAACCAAAATTGATCTGTAATACTAAATACTCATAAACGAACTTAATCGTTGAATGTTACGCTTTGTTTTCTATAGAATGTAATCCATTCAAGTGTCTACACTCATCACTTCAAAAATATTATTTTTATATTTTATGAGTCAATGCAAAACAGAATTTTTATGAATTTTTTTTATCCGTTTTAGTTAATTTTATTTTTATAAAATACTAAAATTTTGCATAGTACCTACCTACCTATGGTGGCACCTGTTCACCGCTTATATAAACTTAAAATACTTATAACTAAATTAACTAGTAGATTAAAATTAAATTGTTATGTATCAAAATACTCCAAAAATATTATGCTTTCAGTATATGAAAATAAAATGTAGTTTAGAAATGACATAAAATTAAGTAAGGGGGACGAGGTGGCCGAGCTGTCTAAGGCGTCCGTCGCGACGCTGCCGACGCCGGATCGATTCCCGGCCACTGGGCGGCATTTTTCTTCGGGCAAGTCACGGTGTCTGGAGAACAAGTGCCCCCATCCCCCACCCGGGCATGGCAGATACCTACGGGTGCCCAAATTGAAAATTCTGTCAAACCCAACACACACGTGTTCCCCCCTACTACAACCAACAATACAATACACCTACAAACAAACCATACAGCTAATGGCCAAAGGTACATCAAAACAGTTGAATGTTAAAAATAATGATTGTAGGACACTATAATGAATCATATTTCATATTGTACAATGTACATACAAATTTTTAGGCATATTCATTTAGGATATAGGTATTAAATATTTTTGATACCAGTGAAAATATATGTACAATATTAATTATTATTAATCATTGATACTTACAATATAGGGATCAAGCCAACTATTAGTCATAATTTTTTTTATTTACATTAATACAAAATGTCACATTTTAAATACAAAATATATTTGTTAATAATAATACCGACCCTTGTTTTTATGTCAAGCAAAAATGTGTAAAATCAAATATATTAATAGACTTACTTTGCAAATAATTACTTTGTGTCTTTGGTTTTTAAGTAAATTCTAGAAAAAATTATTCAAAAATATAAACACATTTTAATGAGCGTTTTACAAATTGAACTTTGAGAAACGAATACAATATATTTTGTTTGCATGCAAAAACATTTTTTTTTTTTTTTTAAAACAAATGTAGCTATCTAAATGCCTAGATTGATATGCGATTTTAGCTATCTTACCAGTGTTTTAATTTAGGAAGAACGATATAAGAACAACATTTCTTTCAAAATTATTTCAGACACATCTTATTGTAGCGATAATTAAAATCGAAGCTACTTTATTAACTTTATTACCAAGTAGAATAGTGTTATGTACATCGACAAATTTTTTTTTTACCCCTATACTGATAAAAATAAATTATCATATTATATAGGTAATATTATTTATAGAGCATGTGAATAAAAATAAACGTGTACCGTTTGTACGGTATACAAAATAAATACCTATATTAAAATTATGAACTTAAATAATTCTTTAATAACACACTTTGGTCCAAAAATAAATAAAATAAATACTGACAATCAGGACAATCAGGATTCTTCCAATATATATAATTACAGACACAAGTGCTTCAAGACATCTAGTGACCTAGGACTCAGGTGTTAATATTGTTATCTGAGTACATAAGCCCAACCGGGCCCACTTTATAACTGTTAAATTTATTTGTCATAATATTACAATTAAATTAAAAATGTTCCAATAATTAAGAATATTAAGTGATTTTTAACATTTTAATTTATATAAATATAATATCAAATTGCATAAAACAAAATGTTTATGTACAAATAATTTGAGACGTTAGGTACTTAATAGTCTTATAAATGTAATATTGAAGTATTTATAACAATTTATGAGGTCTGAATAATTTTCAGTGGAGTCATTTGAGAAAATGTATTCCTATCTAGTTGTGTAAAGTATACTGTACCGATATTGGAATTTTTGGAGGTCCCGACAGACTATGTTATTCCAAAATAAAAAAGTTTTAATACCTATTAGGTTTGCATAAGTTAATACTTTATTTATCCGTTTCTATGTTTAAAACATTATTTTGTATTTTTTTTGAGAAGTTGGTTATTGTAGTAAGTATTTTTTTTTTGTTGATATTATGGTTTTTATACAAACTTTACAGTTTTAAGAAACAGGTATAGCGGAGGCCAGATGAAGTACCAGGTATATTTTAAAAGAAAAAATACGTTTGGAACAAATATTTATAATTTGTAAAAAAGCTGGTCAACATTTTGACCCATTTGGTAATCTCAGGAATGACACCACTGTGTCTTTTGATGTGATTGTATCACTTTGACAACACTTTTGGTCTATGTGACTTTTAGAAGCCAAATTGATACGTAGATTAACTGTGTGATTTTGAAACTAAATTTAGTTAAAATTTGTAAAATAGTATTAGGTACCATAGTACAAAATATACTATCCAACAATATAATTTTGATGACATGTAGAATCATACAGTTTTAAGATTCGGTGTTTGTGTTATATCTAATCCATTTGTTCTGGTAGGTCACCCAAACAGATACTGGTTGTGGACATGTATTATATAACCGATACAATGGTTTACTATAGTATGTGCTGATTATTATTCCGTGAAGAAACATGCAAACATTGAATTTTGATCAATATTCAGTTTATATGTATTTGATAGAACTTAGAATGCATAAATTATAAACAAAACATATTGCTTATTCACACAACAGATCTAATGGTCATTGTGATCATTGAAATCGAACAAATGTTGAAGTACCTATTATGTATAGGAATATAGATTGTATATGAGACATACATTTATGAAACAATATAAGGTTGATTTAAATATAAACACACTAACTGTACATCACAAATAATTTGTATACGTAACTGAAAAAGAAGTATTACCATCAATATGTCGATCAAAATATTAAGAACATTTTCAAAATACAAAAATATTCTGTACATTTTGTAAGAATGTTCAAGTGTGTGCGTTTCATTAGTAATTATTAATGTTATATTAACACAAAAACAAACAATGAAATTAAAACAGTTTAACATAGAAGTTTTTACCTATTTAAGAGTCAAGAATGTACTGTAATACTGGCACATTTTTGTTTATTATAAGTATCATTGATTATAAAATGTGATTTAATTTACACATGAAAATGTAAACATAAAAATCAAACAAACAAGATTTAGTATTGGGATTAAAAAAAATAAAAACACTTGATCTTCATGTGTATGCAATGTTAAACTCTTATTGTATGCTATTTTTTTTGTTATTGTTTAAATAACTAACCTGAGGCTTGGGACGATGTGTATTGACAGCCTCGATGGGAAAGTTGATTTGCTCCATTTTACAACCGTAAGCCACGGGTGTGAGTTTTATCAGCGAGTGCAAGGGAACTTCTAAGTACGGTAACTCTTCTATAAAATAAAAATATATAAGCTATTAACTGGTCATCTATTCACATTATATGGTAGGTCATAAAGAAATTAATAGCAAAAAAATATCTAAAAGTATAGAATATCCTATGAACACAAACACCGACTGTTGACTTATTTAAAAAATACCACAACAATGGAAGTAAAGAATAAAATTACAGTGACCAACCTGAATTTTTGTCCAAAAAATACGCCAGCAGACATCGGAACACTGCTTGATGGCTGACCACCAGAACATTTCCCTGTCTCTCCAGCTCCATAATCACTGGTTCCAGCCGAGCAACCAGGTCTTCGTACGATTCGCCTCTCGGATAACGGTACGCAAACTTGTCCTTGTCACGGGCTGCAAACTGCTCAGGATACTCGCGTTTAATCATCGCATACGTTTTACCGTCACACACTCCCTAAAAAATTTTAATTTAAAAAACAATTGCACAAACAAACATTCACCTATTGGAATAATTATAGACATCACAAATAATGGATAATAACGGCACACATCTATTGTAAGTTGTGATTACTAAATCATATTCATTATCTATGTAGGTATTGTGCTTCTTACGGCGTCAATTTCGTTCAACGATTTCCATCGTTCCTGTGGAGCTTGAACACCGCTTGCAGTCTGAATGGTCCTGTAGTGCCATGAAGTCCACACCCGAAGGTTTTTGATATTCTGTTCGTTTATGTAGTTGGCCAAAGCGATGGCATACTTGACACCGTTAGGTGAGAGTTGGGAATCTCCACCAATTTTTCCTTCCTTGTTCCATTCGCTCTCGCCGTGCTGCAAAAAGAAAGTAGTCGTTGACGTCAAATATATAATATATTAATAAAATTCCTATTATTTCGACTCGTAGAATGCAAGGCGTGAAATATATTAAAATTCAACAAAAGTTTTCAAATGGAGTATCTCAGATTTTTAAATTACACGAGAAAAAAGTATATTGTGTATTGGCGCACTCACTCTAGTAAGATAAATGGTTCTCGGAATGATATGAATGTTCATCAGATAGTAAACGATGCGCGCCTGTATGTGACCTTCGTGCTTGCGCACCAACACTTTTTCTCCAGTATTGAATATCTTCATGAAGCTCAACTCAGACTCAGTCACCTCGTCCAGGGGTTCGTACCGTTCCTGATAGTGCTCTATCCGCTGCAAAAAGTCCCTGAGTGCCACGTCAGCACCCATGCTCTGGTAGTCCGGGCTGTTAATCTTCACTTCCTACGCAATAAATCGATATAATAGGTAATAGGTATATTATATATTATATTATAATTGATAACTTATCGATAGTACACACATTTATTGTGACACTGGTTTTCAACACAATTCCATGACCTAATCTTCACAAAAGGGGGTTGCGAGTCAAAAAAGGTGTGTTATGTTTATATATATATATACAATCAACATCAGTGGCGTAAGCAGGATTTTTCAATGAGAGGGGGGGGGCTTGAAAATTAATTACAATTTTATTTTATTTTGTCCAGTTAAATAATTTCAGACATTTATTTGAGGTATTTTAATATGTTTGTAACTTCTCAACTTTTCTGATAGAAAAAATGCTCTGATCATAAACTTCGATGCCCGTTGTATGTTTTTGGAAGCAAATTGGATCTGGTCGGTACTTTTAGGAGGTTGAAATTGAAAATGCTCAGTGCTTTTTAAAATAATTGGAGAAAAAAAATGAAAAAGGATTAAAATTGTTTGGTAATCAGCTTGGTTATACCGTCCTCACTTGGATTGTCTTTAATTAATTTAATTTTTTTTTTTCTATAAATGTCAATAAAAAATTATTTATCCGGTTAAAAATTTTAAAAATGTAATAACGTAAGTTTTTATTATAGCTAAAATATTAACGATACATAGGCACCATGATTATTTTTTATAAGCATTCAAAGGTCAAATTTCGTCAAAACAACAGTTAATTTGTAGTTCAACACTTATAAAATATTAAATGTGTATAGCTTAGGCTAGACAATTTAATACAAGGTTTTTCATATAAGTATTTCATACTTTTACCGAATAATTACAGATAATTTTAGGAAAATAAGTATGCAAATACAATGTTTTTTCAAAAATGAATTCATTCTAGTAAGACGTATATGAAATTTACGCCTTGCTTACTATAGTTGACAGTTGAAAATTTATAAAAATATTTTTATCTAAGTAATAATAATACAGGCAATGGGGGGGGGGGCTAACGGGCTGAGCCGTGGACGCCACTGATCAACATGATATATAATATACACAAGGCAATTATCCTATTCGGTATTATATAATATACTATTAACTTTACCATTATATTCTGTTCGACTATTTTTGGGTCATCACACACAGATTCGACGAAAAATAACTTGAACCCTCGTTTTTTCACAACGATTTCCAATATCAATTGTCGACGCTCAATGGTCGAGTTCGTGGCATCAAACACCTACAAACCGGAGTTGTATTATTATTATATAATTTAATTTCAAGCACAGGTACATAAATCATATATTTAAAAAAAATAGTGATTCCCTCAAATAGTATTAACGTTTATAAAAATATTTTTTCAACGAATGCATGGTAATAGATTTTTTTAAATTTAATTAAAAAAAATCAATATTTTAAGTTTTCATTTTTTTAATGAAAATTAAAGCAATACATTTTTACGAACATATTCCATGAAGCATAATATGTTTATATGAATTGATGTACAAAAATCGAATTAATAACGATTAGTTAATAATAAGTTATAGGTACCTAACTTTGTTATAAGTATTTGAAGTGAAAGGAGAAGAAATATTTCCAAAAACGTTTATACTTTTTTTAGAAAAATACCTAAAAAATAATTATCCTGTTAAGTTATTATGATTTATGATGTAGGTACTTACAGCAACTTCACCGCCGTTGTCCAGCCACGTGCAGACATCGTCCAGCGCGTCGATGGCGCATTGCGTTCGAATTGCCATCGCTTCAACGTTGTCGGGACGGAAGAACTCATGGCACTTATACGCAGTGGTGGCATGACGCCGGTATTCTCCAAGGTTGAAAACTGAAATATTTTTCAAGTTCACATAATACGACCGTTATTAACTAACACTCAAAACCAGATGCATCTTGTACCTATATGCCTATATAGTACTAATGTACTAGGTAATATACTAAATATAAATATTGTTATTTTCTCTCTATATTCACCTTTAGTGTTGATACCAATCCAGTTTAGGTACCGGGAAAGTTTTTTCGAAATGTAAGTTTTCCCTCTCGCCGGCAGTCCGACCATGGCGATAACATGCGGAGTGTTAACATAGTTTAGACGTTCACCTAGAAAATTTGAGTAGAAATAAGTATACGTGTTTCAATGTTATATACGCGAATAATTTGGTCACAATTTCCTTTATTAGCATGATCCGACGACGGCTGACTGGCCGAGTTATATAATATTAAATAATTTATAAGAGTATAATTATACATGTGCATAATATATATTATATATAATATATTAATATATTACATATATGTTATATTTTAGTACCAGATTATCCATTTAGTTCGTGCTCAGACACCGTACAATTCGCACGTACATTGTCGCACACCGCTTATCTGTTCCGATAGCATAGTCGTTAGTGCTCGCCGTCGCGCCCTGCGCTCATTACGTTATCAAGCTGACGGTAATGTTTAACTTATCGTACATCCCAAGTATAATAACATCATTAACTCGGTATCGAAGTCACCATGAATAATAATCAACCAAACAAACCTAATAATATAATTAATAAGAAAAATAACAAATCCGCTCCGCCGATTACTATCTCAAAAACAATTATAACAACGAATTCAAAAGCTAACACTTTAGATTCTGGATGGTCAACACAAACAAATAAACGTCAACACTCCAACTCCTCAAACTCACTATCCGAACCCTCATCTCCGAATGTGAACATGGATTTAAATACTAAACAAAAAACACATAAAAAAAAAAATCTTTGCTTCACGCAACAGGTTCGAAATACTTGACCAAGAAGATCCATTTGACCAGCCCACTATTGAAAATACTTCTACAAACTCTCAGCAAAATGATGCTGAAAACGATATAATGGAAAATGTAAACACACCAATTAAACCCCCTCCACCTATATTTGTTAAAGGTGTCGAAGATTTTCCCGCACTATGTACTGCCTTAATAGAGCTTATAGGTGTTGACAATTTTATATGTAAATCTTCATCAAATTCTCTGAAAATTCAAACTACGGACCCTAATGCCTACAGAGTATTAGTACATTACCTAAAAGCTGAAAAAGCTGAGTATTATACATACCAGCTTAAAGAAGAGAAACCACTTCGGATAGTTATACGTAATCTCCACCCATCCACGCCTCTAAGTTTAATAAAAGAAGAGTTGGAAGTTCGTCTCTACGAGGTAAGGCAAGTTACCAATGTACTACATAAAGTCAATAAAAATCCCCTCCCCTTATTTTTCGTTGATCTTGAACCAACACCGAAATCCAATGAAATTTTTAAAATGTCTTCACTACTTCATTGTAAAATAAAAATCGAAGAGCCGTACAAACCGAAGACAATCAGCCAATGCTTTAATTGTCAACAATATGGACACACCAGAACCTACTGCGGCTATCAACCCCGATGCGTTCGCTGCGGAGCAGATCATCAGTCAACTGCTTGCCCGAACCCACGCGATGCTCCTCCGAAATGCGCTCACTGTTCTCAAAACCACCCAGCCAACTACAAGGGCTGCACAATTTATAAAGAACTCCAACGTCGTAAGAAATCCAGCACACCAAGTAATCGATTACCAAATAATTTTAATACCCAAACCACTAATGTACAAAGTAGCCATCCACCTGTTCGCACTTTCCCAAATCACCCCTCTCCTCAAACGCAAACTTACGCTCAGGCCACGTCCAATACACCAGCTTTCGTTGCTCCTCCTCCTTCTACCGATACTCAGCCGCCTGATTTAAGCAAATTATTAACTAATTTTTTAGACGAATTCAAAAATGTTATAAATCCACTAATTTCTCTTTTAACTAAAGTAATATCCAAGCTCCTCGACAAATAATGACTAATAATAACTACAATAAATCTGTCACCGACGATTCGCTCTTAATACTACAATTTAACGCCAATGGACTAAAAAACCATGCCCTTGACCTCGAAACCGTATTAAACCACAAACGCATTGATGTTGCCCTCATTTCTGAAACCCACTTCACTAAATTCTCCCATATACATATACCCGGTTATACTCTAATTAAATCAAATCACCCCGACAATACCGCGCATGGAGGTGCTGCTATTTATATTAAATCTAATATTGAATTTTATCCCCTACCTAGGTTTTCTCAATCCTTTCTCCAATCTTGTGCTATTAACCTAAAGTTAAACAATACTTCACTCACCATTGCTGCTGTTTATTTACCCCCAAAACATAACATAAAAAACTCTCAATTCGCCGACTACTTCAACTCATTTAATAATAACTTTATCATAGGTGGCGATTTTAACGCCAAACATCAGTCATGGGGATGCCGCGTGAATAACCCCCGAGGAGTTACCTTATATAACTATATAAACACTAAGAGATTTAAAGTTCTAGCTCCACCTGATCCAACCTATTGGCCCTCTTCGGCCCGTAAAAATCCTGATATTCTTGATATCTTTGTCTCCAATTTACCGAACACCTTGTTCCACTCTACTAAAAACTTACCCGATTTAAATTCTGACCATTCATCAATACTCCTAACGCTCAATACTTCCCCTTCTGTCAAAGAATCCAACAAATTATTTAACAAATTCACAGATCATGTTAAATTTCATGAACTAGTTAACACAAAAATTAAGCTAAACACAAAATTAAAATCACCCAATGACATAGACCAAGCGGTCCTCAATCTTACCAACATAATACAAACTGCAGCATGGTCGGCTACAAATACAATGCCAGCACCTCCTTCTGCAAGCTCACTTCCTGAATACATACGCAACAAAATTGTTGAAAAAAGAAGAGCAAGCGCTCTATACCAGCGCACGCGTTTACCTTCCCATAAACTTAATTACAACCAACTAGCTAACTCACTAAAAAAACTGCTCACTGAATTTAAGTCAAACATATGGCAAAATCACTTAATGAAACTCACTCCCACAGACGGTAGCCTATGGAGAGAAACAAAACAAATACTTCGCTATAAATCTCCAAATCTCCCTATTAAAAAATCAGATGGTAGCTTAGCTACTTCGGATATTGAAAAAGCTGAACTTTTTAAGGATCATCTTGCTAATACCTTTCAACCACACGCCGATATCATAGACGTTGAAAACATGAATCAAGTCGAAACGTTCTTAAATACCCCCCTCCCGGTTTCTCTCCATGTCAAGTCATTTACACCTAATGATGTAAAATATGCTATACAAAAATATGCTCTAAAAAAATCACCAGGCTATGATTGCATTACTGCGGTAGTAGCCAGATCCCTGCCAGCTAGAGCCATAGTTCACATCACTCATATATTTAATGCTTCACTCAGACTTTCCTATTTTCCCCTACTATGGAAATTCGCAACTATAATCTTATTTCCAAAACCAAACAAACCACCTGAACTACCATCATCACACCGTCCAATCAGCCTTCTCCCTTTTTTCGCCAAAATACTGGAACGGTTAATTCTGAAACGAATTCTCCCGATAATTACTGAAAAAAATATTCTTCCAAACACCCAATTTGGGTTTCGCGCTTCTCACTCAACTATTCATCAAGCACACAGAGTCGTAGACTCTATTTCGTTTTCCCTGGAAAAAAAACTGTTCTGCAATTGCGTGTTTTTAGACATCTCACAAGCATTCGACCGCGTATGGCATGATGGGCTTTTGTATAAACTTAAGAAATTCATGCCTCCCACCTACTACTTACTTATTAAATCCTATCTATCAGATCGTCATTTTCAAATACGCTACGGTTCTGCGTTATCTGACGTAGCAGTTATCAATGCTGGTGTTCCCCAAGGGGGCATTTTGTCTCCTATTCTGTACAATATCTTCGCTTCTGATCAACCAACTACCCCCAATACATCCGTAGCTGACTACGCTGACTATAAAGCAATAATATCTATTAACAATGATCCATTCATAGCGTCATATAATCTCCAAACTCACCTTAACCACATGGAAAAATGGTTTACTAACTGGCGATTCAAAGTAAACCAAAGCAAATCTGTACATACTACCTTCACCCTCAAACATGCTTCCTGTCCTACAGTTTTTCTATACGGTATTCCTATCCCTTACTCTCCAAAAATCAAATATCTCGGGCTCACTCTCGACCAAAGGTTAACCTGGGCCCATCACATCAAAATCAAAAGATTAGCACTGAATCATCGTCTCCGTATCCTCAAACCCTTAATAAGCAATAACTCTACCGCCATTAAAAACAAAATTCTGATTTACAAAACACTTCTCAAACCCATTTGGACATACGGACTCCAACTTTGGGGAAACGCTAAAAAGTCTAACATACTGAAAATTCAAACATTTCAAAATATCGCTCTCCGAAAAATAATGAATGCACCACCCTACGTGTCTAATCACACCCTTCATACTGACACCAAACTCAAAACAATTAACGACGAAGCCAAAATATATTATAAAAGATTCTATTCCAAACTAATTAGCCACCCTAACGAACTCATAAAAAACTTATCTACTCCTTCCATACCTGGTAATCCCCCTAGACGCCTGAAGCGTAAGTGGTGTCGCGATCTCTTAAGATAAGCAAAAAAATAAAAAAAAAAAATCCATAGAAAGTGCCATCGATGGATGGCTTCTTTCATCAAATTTCCATGTCAATCTTTGTAACTTTCATCATATATGCTTATAGTGTCTAGTCGATACAGATTGTGTATTACGTTTAAAAATAAAAAAAAAAAAAAAAAGATTATCCATTTAAGTATCTAAACTCATTATTTCGAAAAGTTTTAAGTTTTTTGAAAATATTATTTTTATATAATTTTATGTCATTACAAAACAACATTTCTGAAAAAAAAAAAATAATTTTTCGTTATAGGATTTTTTATTTTAATTACACCGTACATTTTTTATTTCATATTACGAAGTATAATATTATTTGGAGTATTTCAATCTATAAAGATAAAATTTCGAACAACTAGTTATAATTAAGCAGTTAATGTTTAGATGTGCGGAGTAGAGTGGTAAAATGCGCTGTCCACTATTTTAATTTTTAGTACACCATACAATGGTGTAAAAAATGAAAATGTCCATGGTATCTATCAACAAGTAAAAATTATTCTATA